ATAAACACACTTTATCAGCTAATTATGCCAGCCAGGCTCTTCTGACATAATTCAGGTAAGAGAGGCCGATACATGATTTGGGCTTTCAATATATACTCTAAGTTTGGCGTGCTTGTCCCGCATTTAAGCGTGGCACCCAGAGTCGTGTTTAAATGACTCACCAGCGTGGCCTCGGATTCCGTTACGCGTCGGTCATCAGAGTGACAACTCAGAGTTGGGACGCTCGACAAGAATGAGTCTATTGCTTAAACTGGGTCATGGCCAAAGTGAATAAGTTACTTTCCATTGTTATTTGAGTCTACTTTTATTATTTTAAGGCCCAGCCTAATTGTGTCATATCGCGTGGGGTAGCGATGAACGCGTGGGGAAGCGATGGAGAGAGTGGAGCCAGCGGGTCTCACAAAGGTGAGGACCAGCGGGTCTCAACATGTAGCGTGAAGTCAAATAATCCAGGGAATGCTTGGATGTTCACATTTTGTTATGTATAATAATATAAAATATAAAACGTAATATATTAAATACTTTACACGTTTTTTCTGGTGAATACAATAGTAACGCATTTGTTAAAAAAAAATGCCTATCACAAATGTTAAGATTTACACCTCTTCTGTAAATAGAATAAAATAATGTGCGTCCTTCCTATAAAAATTTAATAAACAATAAGTTATTGCCTCGCTCTCAAAACATTCTCACTTTTTATTAAAAGCAATTTTTATCATCACCCAGGCGCGGTCCCACTTGACTGAGGGAAATTCATGCTAAAAGGCAACAACAACAAAAAATTAAATATAGAAAATTTATATACACATATATAAGAAAATAATATACACACTTTCACTCACATAACATCACAAACATCACAATATGAAAGAGCAGAACTACTTCACGAAATGTCTCTGTAACATCATATTACTATTACATCAACTATATATATATTAATAATATTAAAGTTTATTTGAAAAACATATACTATGAAGTAGGGGGATTGTTACGCACTGGCTTCTAATATGAGAAATTAATCTCCTATTTTACTTTTATTGGCTCGTTGTAAACACTGCCCAACAAAAGACGATAGCCTGGAGTCAAAAATATCAAAGAAACGACACCCAAAACAGTTGCTAGTTACAATTAATAAGATTTATTAAGAATTAATATAATTATAAAACAAAAGAAATATCATAACAAATCTTCAACTTACAGTATGGTAGATCTTGTACCGGTACACAGTTAGTATAATGTTCCAATTATAATGATGAATGCGGAATAAACACATATGAGCACACAAATACATAAAGAATAATACACGCCTTGTAAAGTTAAAAATATCTTTCAATCTACGTCCCTCCGTGCCTGTCAATCCCTTATATAATGGGTCCACAGACGCGTAATTCCTGCCTTCCAGAAGCTACTCAGCCTTTCTTTACATTTCTAGAACAATCGCAAACATTCTACAAAATACTAGGAGACAGTCTAACAGAGTTTAATTGGAAAGGCGGTAGTCAGCAAGATACATCAAACGAATAGGCCACGCCCACAGCAAATGCTAACGTCTGCTATGGATCTAATTTGGTTCAAGCAAAATTCAAGAATGGGGAAATCGTGTAAAATGTTATACATAACAGGGATAAAAGTTTTGTTTTTCTTTCTCCCTTTATACTATTAACTATACAATGTATGTGTGGGCTTCTCCTATGTTCATAAGTAAAGCACTTATGTAAAAATTATACATTGTTTCATTTCATATTTACCAAGCAATTATTTAATGTGATGAGTATCAATGCCTTGAGATTATAATAATTACATTTCATCCCCAATAGATAGAAATAATTAATTATGTACTAATAAATGTATTTTTTGACGTTTGACCAGAATACTCCACGATGTCATAAAAAGACACACCGTGTTTTCTGATGTAATTCTTCACTTTAGGATTTTTGTCAAGGAATGGTGAAAATTTGGGAACTGATTCTTGTTAAGTGTCTATGAATTGTTTATTTTAGTTCTTTCGTTTAAGCCTAATAAATACCTCTGTATCAAAAGTATGGAAACACTTTTTTTACCACGCATACATCCTGTCACTCATTTGAGATATGGATTGTAAAAATTAAAACAAATTTACAGGCGTACTAAAATTACTTTTTAGAACTTTTTTAAAAATATTATTTGCAAAAAAAAAAAGTGAAGAGTAATTAAGTTTTTAGCAAAAGGTGATCGTTTATTCCCAATAGTTTAATTTAATATTTAGCAATGTTTTATATATTTGTTAAAATTAAATTATGAAACATTAATGTTTGTTATAATTAGCTCTTGAATAAATACAAATGACCACGACCAACAGTATTGAATAAGTTCCAGGGAGAAGATGGGGTGGCTTCAATACTAAGTGGATGTGGATAGACGCGCGAAGCGAAGCGTCATTGTATTTAAAACCAGGAGATAATTATTGAAGGAACAAGCATATTTCAATAATATATGCTCATTAATTACAATCAACTCATGGTGACCAGCTCACTTTCGACCCTTATCATTTTTTAGCCCTCCGAATATTTTCACGTCATAGGAGCCTAGTGCGATAAATGTATTCAATCAATGAACGATAAGTCCCATTTTCAGTACTCTCGTTCGTCCATTGATTGTTCATTAGCGAAAAGATTCTTACAGTATTACCATTATAGGCAGTGATCACAAACTGATATTGGCATATCTTCAAAAATTCACAGTGCTGTTCTTGCCCTAGTATTGGTTTTGATAAAACAAAACTACTTTCCGTGTCATTAAAATGTGTTGTTTTTATCTTCATCCGTCTACTCTCTAATATTTTCGTTTACGTAGCTTCGGCAGAGTGGAGGAATGGGAACCATTTTGATATCACGCGAGCCCACAGCACTTCTGGCAATGGCTACACAGCTAGTGAAACTATTACTCAATTTTTTATAAAAAAATTAGTTAGTTTTATTGATTTTAAAATGAGTTTGGATTTAGAAGCGGGGCATGTAACTTACCGAGAGAACTTTATGGGACACCAGGTAACATCGGGAAAAAATTCGACAATCCCGTTTTAACGGGACATTTGGTTACCCTAACCTACAGATTTCCAAGGTTTCTACGGCATGAGACCTTTCAAACATTAAACAAAGTAGATAAGAAAACGTCTTTACTGATCTTTATATGTACTAAAATTGTACATGACTTACTTTGTTAGTTAAATTAACATTCATACGCAAGTACATTTTGCATAAAAAATTAATATAATTTTCCTTTTTAAAGTGTGCATATGTTGTTTTTTTTTAAATACTCTGTATGTACACTGTTTATAACACAAAGAAACATTCCCATTCAAAAATACACTAAAATAGTATTTAGGTTTAAATATTAAAAGAAAACAACACAAATTAAATCAGTTGATAATCACATATAAAAAAAAAGCTAAGGAGAAATAAGAATAACAAAAAAGGCTGGAGCAATTTAAATATTTCGTACAGGCCTATAATAGGTATTATGAAAAATAGGCAATGTAAAATGTAAATTAAATGTATGCAATTCCTTTTGTTAGGAAATGAAATAGTCCTTACCTCTTGAAGGTATTATTTTTACTTTTAGGACAATCAGATGATTGTTCACTTAAATAATTATTTACGGGACCTGTTCGGTAAAAATGTACATTTAAATACATATAAATTATTTTGTACTAATTTATTAATTCATTTTGATGTCAACATAAATTATTTTTTTTTTAAATTGCAACGGCTGAGTTCTTATAAGATGTTCTTGAAATTTAATTATACACTTTTTAAAAGTATGTGAATGTTTTACTATATATTATATCATTTAAAAATGATGTAATCAAATTGTCATTAAATATGTTGTATATATTTAAATCTAAATTGTATCTGAATGTTATCACTTTTAAACTAATAAGAGTTAAATCGTAAACTGTTTAAGTTTTAATATTATATATAGGATAAGCTATATACATAGAACATAATAGTAACTATTGGGCTGACCATAATTTGATGGCCTATTTTATGTTTGGAAAACTATAACAAAATGGCAAAATAATCATTGCTACATAAAATAAGTAATTGGCTTTCAATAAATTTCCTTTCATTTCATTATCTGAATCATTAGATTGAAAAACTAATGACCCAACACTTACCCATAATCATAGCTCCATCATCTCGGAGTGGTCAAATTGCGAAAGTATTAATAATCTACGAAAAAGAATCCAATCCAGTATTAAATGTAAAGTAAGAAGGCCGACTATTTTTAGAATAACGCAATTACCGACAAACACAAAACACACACAAACACACACACTTACGGTAGACCCTCAGCCTTGCATGATCGCAGCAAAAGACCCTTTGTTTTATACGGCCTGTTGCGCGAGTATTTGATTACCTACCATCGGAAACGATATTTTCTATCGTAAACTGTAAGTATATAATGTCTATAATTATCATAAGAAATGCATTTATTTTAAAAAATCCTTAAACATCATGATACATGATTAAAGAAAATACGGGGCAATAAAATGCTACTTTTTTCTTTAATTTTCTGTAAAGCTTTTGTCATTCAACATTACTGAAAACACGATTGCATATTTATTACTAATTTTATTTATTTTTCAATTATGCATTTCCCATTAAATTCATATATTCTATATGCCTATATTTATATCATATCCGATCAAGTTTTGCCATCTTTAATTACAGTTACAGTATACTTGCTATTCAATCATGAGACTTAGGTAACCTAACAGCCATATTTATTCTTAAACTGATGAATGTTATTTTGGGTCAGTGAGGTATGAAATAACATAGGTTGTCCTATTGTGCTGTTAGATTGTCATGTTGTACTTGCTACGACTAACGCTGAACAACATCTGCAGGCAATGCCGTGACCTACTTTTTTTCTTTTTAGCACGCAGCACTATTTACTGGGACAGTGTGTTAAATTCACAATTTGTTTTTCATGGATATAAATACATTCTTATTTTGCCACATTTTCAAATCATCGTTCGATATAAAGTTTGACTTCAATATGACAAATAAAAAAAGTCAACCTTGAATTTCGTTATTTTAAAATGGCAACAATAACAAACGTAAATTTGGGAAAACCCGAACTATGATGTGCTTCAGTACTGACTGTAAGAAAAAGGTCAGAGGAAAAAAAATCACAGACAATAAGTTACAGAAAAACTTTTTATTAACACTAATTGTATTTTAAGTCATACATTTGTTTATGATATACTAATATCCATGGTGACCGAAATTGGTCCAACGGAAATTTGATCGAACGGAAATTATGTCGAATTTTGTATTACTTTTTTCCAACAGCTTCCCTTAAGAAATGTACACATTTGTTGGTATTGTCATTATTTTTGAGCTAATTTGTTTAGTTTTAATTTTTTATTATCCTTATTATTATTTTTTAAAGCAAATGTTGAGAAATGAGCAGATCTTTTTCCATGGACGCGTGTCAGAATTTAGTTTATTTTTAAACGGAGAAATACAAAGCAGTAGTCAGTACTTTCAATTATTGGTATATGAAAGTATCCTATAAAATCTATAAAGGTCACGGCTAGAAATTATATCAGAAAAGCAACGATACAAATTATTGTAAATGAGAAAACTTCATAAGAAAAAACCAACATATAGTATATAACTACTAAGTATTCATGTCAAAGTGTAACCAGTTTCAATTTCGAATTTTAACTGCTATTGCTGCTATGTTACATGCAGCTGATAGCTTCAAAACCGAAGGAACTATAATAATAAAAACGACTAAAATTGATGATGTAACTACACGTGACTTTACAAATTCTATTTGTCTAAAGCATTTTCGAATTTTAACCCCGGCCACGAAAGATCACCTGTAAACTGATCTAAGTTGAAACTATAAAAAAAACACACGAAATCATATAACAAAATACACTTTGGGTCCAATTATTCATTTTCTCGTGACATAACATTCAATAGTGTAAATAATTTGACGAGAATGGCGAAGACTTTATATTGTTTGCACTGGGCCGATAGATTACAGAATGTTAATATTTTCAACAAGGAATAATCTATGGATGTTTTCTGCTTGAGCATATGTGCCTGCTGCCTATACAACATGTGTTGGAGTACTTTCAGTTACATTGAGGTAGAATTATTTTACTTCCTGAAGCTGAAGTTATCATTAATAAGTTTAAATACAAATGTATAGGTCGACATAAGCATAGTCACGGTCGACCACCCCCATTTTGCTGAATCCCAAAATGCTCTTGAAGGTATACATACGGAGTTTTAGAACCAAGTTTGCTATAATCACCCCGACATTTATATAATTTATGTTAAATGTGAGCAAAGTTTGAAGGAATTTCATTTCGAACAATTTCTTACTTGCTAGAGCGCCCTTCAGAAGAAATCAATATAAAGTTTCAGTAGAAATATTAATTTGCATTGTCAATTCTTTTGAAACCAATATTAAGGCTAAGGACTATTTACGTGGTATAGCACATAATAATGCCTATTAATTTTTTTAATTGAATTCAATAACACAATAATCCCCAGAGAACTGGTTTCTTTAATTTTTTCTGTAACCACTGTAATTATTCCTAAGGCAGGAATAATTTTAGTAAGCTATCTGAAATTATTGTCTACAAACACTTATTTCCTGTTAAGGAAGAAAGTTTCTCGTTTTTTTCATTTTCTTTCTAAAATCGCTCTACAAAACAATATGTGACGTGGCCTTAATGTTTGTAAATGTTTTTGACATCGATAAATGTGTTTTTTACCTTGATTATGTGTTTGAAATGTTGGAACAATATAAACATTGTAAGTATTGTTAATTAAAAAGTTCAGTATCTTCATTCTGTGTGCTATGCTACAGTTTTGAAAGGGATTTAAATGGTGTCCTCGGAGCCGGGTTTTAAATTGGTATATAGTTGGCCTTAGATCTAATAACAAGAGAAATCTGTCAGCCACTATCAAAGGAGTTTTGGAGAAAACAAAATTATATGAACTAATCCTTTGGGTTGTTTTGACTTGAATGGTAAAGAATAGTTCGTTTTTGTGTGTTTGTTTTTATTTTAATAAGCTGATCATATTCATTATTTCTTTAATTTTTTTTTTTAAATTTATTTAATGATCAATGATTATTGACAGACTTTTGATAATATATTTTTAAGATCAAGTAAAGAAAAGTTTAGACAAAATTTAATCACATAACTAAATTTTTGTACGTCATCATATACAACTGTCTCAGATGATGATGAATTATATAAATGTTGAGACACTGACTGACTCAGAAGTTCTAACAGTTGATAAAGATCCCTTTCACATTGTTCCAAAAATTAAACCATGCACAAAAAAAAAAAAAAAATTAAAAAATAATCAGAAAATTACAATTCAAAATTTTTATGTAACAAATATCTTACATTTTTTACACTAAACCATCATGGACCTGTAAGTTTAAAATAAATAAATTCTAATGAAAAAAGTTCATGTTTTAAAAAAAATAAAATAAATATCTATAGGGACACTGTTATTTAAATTATAAAGCTTTGAAATTCCACATGAGATGAAAATCATTATTTGATCCCAGCAGCATAGCAATTCTCATGCATCTTTGAATACAAATATTTATTTTTTTATCCAAACCATACTTAATTTTCGCTTTGTGTACAAACATTTGAATAAATTAGACTAAAATCAGATGAATGAAAAGGTATTTTATTAATTTTAACTCCACCAATATTTTTACAGGGATATAATTAAATCTTCTTTCACATGATTTTTTTCCTACCCGAAAATTCTTTTGTGTTATTTTTTTAAACTGTAATAAAATGAACATTTTGTCTCAGTTGATATTTTGCTAATGTGTGTTCCTAAAAAAAAAAAACAACACACGCACACTTTTTTTTAAAGAAAAGTCTCGTCAATGTATAACTGACTTTATGTGAAAGTTCTAACATTAGTTATTTTGGGAGATGTAAGACATTAAAATCCATAGTATTCAATCTAACACTACCATTAGGTACAACGTTTATCCTTATTTACGCTTTAAAACTACCATATAACTTTTAAAATTTGTATATGTTAGATTGGTATTCATTTTACATGCCCCTAATTCTCTGACTTAAATGTTCTTCTTACTCTAGATCACAAGCTCTTAACGAATGATGCCTGCAACCCCAGGGAATGTGGCATGCAATGACTTAGTGTACTTAATTAATAAAGTTTAGATAGCTTCATAATACTGCATCTATTTAAAATGTGTTTCTCTTACCTACTTACTTATGCCTTTTACTTCATTTGAGACAAAAGCCGACTTCAAGTTCTCTTCCTTCATCTCTGCCATGTACTTTTCTTTTCCGTTGACTCCAATTGTATTTTGTCGTGTATATGCTTCTAGCTCGCGTCTCCATTAATTCTTTTGCCCTCCTCTCTTCATTATTTTCATGTGGATTCCATATTAGACATTGCATGGTGATGTGATCTTGGGCTTTACGAAATTGAAAAGGTTTAAACCAAAATATCAAATGCATAAATAATCACTGGCATGATTGTCAAACCATATCGCAGGTTTTAGTTGGACCAACTAAGTTTGAGAAAATTATTATCTTCAAATAGATGACTAAAATCCAAGATCGCCTTGTGTTTCGCAGCTGTGTTTTGTGCTATTTGGTTGATATCCCTGAACAATTTGGCGGATAATAGATCGCATTTTTGGCATCTGCTATAGGGACCATATCTCCAATGATACAATGGAATAAAAGGTTCGACAGACGATTGGGGAGTACGATGACATACAGGTGACTGTGGGAAAAAAAACGCAAAAAAAGATGGTATGGCAACGTAACAAGGAAACAAGGGCTTGCCCAAGAAATATTGCTGGGCACCACAAGAGGAGGGAGAAGAAGTGGAAGACAAAGAAAGAGAAGGGAGGATAACATCAAAGAGTGGACAGGACTAACACTGGGTGATGCTGTGCGTAGTGCTGAAGACAGAGATAAATGGAGGAGGATAGGTCACTAATTTTATAGTTAATAAAGGATTTTTTTTTCAATAAAAATAACAATTTGTGTATATTAGCATTTTTGTTTAGCTAAAACCTTTTTTAAAGATCAGTTAAGTGCATGTCTATTGCATTGACTGTGATGTATTACTAGTGTGTCAGTTACTCTAAATAAATTATGTTTCCCAGCATATGATTTACTAACAACATATAAATCAACACGGTTCCGGTGGTTAGGTTTGGACGGTCATGTCCTTGCACCAAATTGTTGTATCGAAATCAAAAAGGCAAGAAAGTAGCTTTGTGAGTTCTAAAAATAGATTTCCATTCAAAATATGAAATTTATTAGTGGATAGTTAAAATGTTTTGTAAAAACCGATAGCCGAATTTTTTTAAAAAAAAAATTTGATTTTGCACCACAAGAAAATGATATTAGCACGTCACTAAACTCCTGGCAATCAATGCTATTATTATGCTGTCTGCGTTAAGATCAAACAGCTCTGCTGGAAATCATTCGGATACAAATCTGCTCTTACTTTGACCGGTCTGTTTATGTTAATGGAGTAAAATATATTACAGAGCTTCTATATAAAGGGTAGACGGATAATTCTCAGCTTGTGTACGTATTGTTATTATTTTTTCCTGTAGCTTTTGAGTCAATTTTACCAGATTGATTTGCTAACTCTCCAACTTCTCAGCCAAATTGGTTCTCAACGTTTAGAAATCGGTAGCTGTTAGTAAAGAGGACTACTCGATCACTGTGGACATTACTTTTGCTTAGGGGGGAAGTTGCAATACGATTTAACCCCATACTTTTGCAAGTGTTTGATTTCACATGTGTTTATTAGTTTTACAGTAATCAGGTCTATGAATATGTAAATAAGTATGAAAACGTTTTTTAAAGAATTTTAAAAGGCAATAAGTACCTTTTTTTCATGTTATTGTAAGTGTTTCTTTTATATTCGACTTCAACTCATCTCGTTGGTTGTTGGAAGTTTCTCAATCCATCAAATAATGAAGTCAGACGAAAACACCGAAGAAAAATTTTGGCAAACGCAACTTCTTCTTTTTTTTTAATCCGCGGAAAAAAAATGAAAATGAGATTAAGAGATAGTATAATTGTAACTATTAGTGGTTCAAAAATAATTTGTTTCTTGTAAAAATAAGACACATAAAGTTTTTATGTGTTTTTTTTAAAGAAATGCATTTTAACCACGGCAAAAAACAATCTTTAAATTTTCACATGATTTGCCTGTACATCAGAATTATCTTGATAAATTTTAGGCATATTGGGATTCTCAAATCATGCATCATATATTGAATAAAACTATTCACTTATTAAGTAATGTAACGGTAAAAAGAATTCCAACAATTCTAAAATGAGGCAATTGATTTCCTTAAATAATTTTTTGGCAATATGTTTATAAATTTAATTGATATATTTGTATTTCTTGATATATTTGAAACTTTGTAATATGTGTATTGTTTGACATATGTACAATATACATCTTTTAAACATGATTTTTCTTTTGTTTAATAAAATATTATTTTTTTTACTTACAGTTTGGCTATGAGCTGCTATATGATTGTCACTTCCAGTCTCTTCTACGACATCCACATGGATTACTAGCGTATAACTGTTACATTGTTTGAATTTAACTTTCTACAAACATGGCTACATCTCTTAAATTTCTATTATTATTGAACGACATGGATCCAAATGAATTATCCCGCAGTGTTATGATAGAAATTTTATTACAGTATCTACAAAAACATCCAGAAGATATTTTTTTAATTTTCAAAATTTGTGTACTTATTTTTCAGGTTTTACTTATCGTTTATGTTTTTAAAATGTCAAAGAAAATCAATATTAAACATAAATCGTCTCTATCAGATTTTTTATCACTTAAAAGTCCTCTTCACCACCTTGCCATCAACGATCCTGAGACTATTATTAAGGAAATTGTTCAAGAACAAATTTCGTCAAACAATTATAGTGACATACGGGGAAGAACGGCTTTACATTGCAGCGCACAGGCAGGTCAAAAAGAGATGGTCGAAATTTTAATTAGGGCGGGCGCTCAAGTCAATAAAGGTGTATACGTGTGGGGGAAAACACCTTTACATCTCAGTGCCGAGAGCGGAAAGAATGATGTTGTCCAAGCTCTAATCGAACACGGCGCAAACGTTAATCGTACAGTGTTTTGGTTTAGAAAAACAGCTCTACACTACGCCGCCGAAAATGGTCACATGCTTGTTGTCAATTTGCTACTGAAATCAGGTGCACATGTCAATGTACAAGATCGATATGGAAAAACTTCACTACACTATGCTGTTGATAAAAGCCATGGAAATGACAGCAACTTATCTATTGTACGAGACCTTTTGGAAGCGGGAGCTTCGGTTCATGTAAAAGACTATTTTGGCAAAAATTCAATACATTACAGTTCAGAGTGGGGTGATAGCGAGGCTGTGAAAATACAGATTAAAAAGGCTGATTATCTGGACTACAAAGACACATTTGGTAGAACCGCTTTACATCTCAGTTCAATGAAAGGTTTTACGGCTGTTGTAAATGAACTGCTGCAGGCTAAAGCTTCCGTTGACAAGACAGATTGTGAGGAAAAAACAGCCTTACATTACAGTGCTGAAAATGGTTATGTTGACATCGTCTCGACTTTATTACTCAATGGAGCTTCGGCCACTTTGAAAGAAAAGAATGGAAAGACAGCTTTACATTTGAGCGCTATCAAAGGATATCCAGACATTGTCCAGACGCTTATACAAGGCGGAGCCGATATTGATGCAACAGACATAGAAAATAAAACGGCCTTACACTACTGTGCTATGGGGAATAACCCAAAGACACTAAAAGCACTTTTACGTGCTGGTGCTTCTATTAACTTGAAAGACTCAAATTTACGAACTCCGCTGGACTTGGCGAAGAAAACATCCAATCTTGACGTCATAGCCATATTGAAAAGCGCTAAAAGAGAAGCAGTCTTCTCATCGTTTGAATTTGAAAAGCATCACCTGGGTAAGACGAGTTTAAACCGGGAAAAAGATGTTCACGAACAAAGTATTAAGGACATGATCAAAAAACATAATCAATTAAGGTATGTCTAAAATAAACAATCAAGGTGTGTATAACATGATAATCAAACGTGTTTGTAAACATTTACATCTTTGTAAATGTCTGATGTACTCTTTTATCGTTACCACAATATTTTAATTTGAAAGCAGAAAAAATATTTTTTTATTAAAACAAGAGGGCTTTAAATAACACTTATTTATCGGTTCAAACTTATATAAGCAGGCAGTTCATTATTTAATTTAAATTATTGATTTGATATATTAGTAAACAAATGATTTTTAACCCATTAAATATTAACTACATTTTTAATGGTCTTTGATATCATTACTCTCAAAAACGAGATAACAAATTATTTATCTAATAGAATATTGAAAGCAAATTTAAACTTTTTACCAAACCTGTTTGTATTAATTTGCTTTTTTCCATTAAAAATATATTTTTTTAAATTTTTATTTTGGGGGGGGGGGGGGGGGGGGGGGGGGGGGGGTAGGAATAACTTAATGTTAGCCATACATATTTAAAAAAAAATAAAAATAAAAATATAAATTTTATTTTTATTTTTTGTTTTATTTAAGTAGCAACATTTAATTTCTGTTTAAAATCATTTCATCATCTTAAAACTTACTTCTTTAATATTTAGCATGATAGTTATAATAGTTTTATTTATTGTTTATGTTTTATTTTTATAATTACAAGTCTCGATATCTGCGTAAATATCGCATATATTACATTAATATACACTAGGTGAGCAATGAAAATGTAAATTTAATTTTAATGAGTCTTTATAACAATTGTTTTAATTTAAAATCAGTTATTTGTCAATTTGTACAAAAATCTTCCCATAGTATACATGAGCATATTTTCAGTGTATATATTTTTTAACGAATTAAGTGAGAAATTTTGTGAAAATATAATAAAATATTTCACCTTAAACATTGCCTGTACCACTAACACGAGTATTTCATGAAATAATCTGTTAAAATATATCTGTACTTACACTAATGTATTTACACACATAAAGAAATTGTTATTAGCAAATTATAGCACCATAAAACCATTCATATAGTTGATTGGAAAACAATACAAATTATTCAGTTTATAACGTAACAAATTATCAGATGTATGTTTTTCCCTAAATGTTAAGGTCTGACATATCTTGCATATATAAGTGAATACCTACACTATAACAAGATTATATATTAAAAAACGACAACATATAATAGAGAAAATACAGTTTTCCAGCATATCTATTTGAAATTATTGAAATAAAATAATGAAACATCCGTAGAAAATTGAAATCGTTCAAGGAAATTAAATAAGACACTTCTAACAAAAATGTAGCTTCTGTCTACACCTCCTGCTTTTTTAAAAAAATGAGTTTGTTATGTTTGTTTGTTTTTTGTTTTTTTTGAATTCATATAATGCACATTAAATATAAAAGTAACGCTAAGAAAAAATACTTTTTACATCACTTTTAAATTTTGAAAATACTTCGAAACTTTCCTAACACATTTCTGAAAGCCATATTATATGCATTACACTGTTTGTAGGAATGTGGCACATGACGCAAACCAAAATGATACGAACATGATCAAGTGGAAGAAAAAAGAGAATGATCGTTAACAATAGAAATCTTGCGAAACTAAAAAGCATCCAGAACCTATTCCTGAATTCCAGAGTCCCACCGAGACCTTAAAACAATCTCTAATAAATGTTAATTTTATTTTTAAATATAACGATTGCAGGGCTCTAATCCCCATCTCCCACTAAACACCCCCACAACACACACACAGGATTGCAGGCTCAAGCATCTCTTTGTTAGTAGATTTTTTTTTAAATTTAAAAATGATTCTAATCTTAGCTTTATTTTGTAAGTAAACCCATCGTTTTTCCAAGAGTTTTTCTATATTTATAGCTTTCATCCGAATGTTTTAAGACAATTTAAATAAGGACAGATTTAAATATTTAACTAAATGGCATTGCCTACTTAATACTACTAATAATAATAAAGATTATTTGCAAATCACGTCTAATCCCCAAAGGCTCGAAGCACGGTACATACGACATTGAAATACAAAGTGCACCATTACAAAAGCTACGTACGAGAAAACCCATTCTAAGTCTTTCATACCTTGCAACCAATAAAGTATCTCATTTAATTCATTATATGATAATATAAGATTAAAATAAATATAAAAGTGCTATATTGTTAATTTTTGATACAATATAACTAGGTTTACATATTTATACATTTTTCCACTAAATCAAATTTTCCTGAAAACAAACGTTTCTTTGAATACAGTTAATGTCATGTTTTAAAATTTAATTATTTTGTCGTAGCTATGACGTCGTAAGCAGATATCAATTAACTTTTTGAAGTTAAATCTGGTAATTTCATTTCAAATAAAATAAAAAAAACACAAAAGTGCCATTTGCATTTTGTTGTGTTATTGTGTTTACACGGTGTACATAAAAAAGTATAATGGATGCCTTGATGGAACGAGGGAAAATATAAAAAACCCAGATGGAAGTCTTGTACTTAACTAGTTTAATACAAATAAAAATATAAATAAAGACTTAATATGTTTAAAAGAATACATAATGCACTGACGCATATATTATCATAGACATATATAGTATTTATATATATATATATATATATATATATATAAGACGAAAATTTAGTCACTTAAAACCAATTATTTATTGAATTTCCTTATCGTAATTAATTAATTAGCTTGGAAATGTGTGAAGCCAAATATGGCGAAACCTGAAAAAATTGGCACAAAAATAGAAAAGAACGTGTCTGCATGAAGCCCTTTTCAGTTTAAAAGAAGAAAAAAAAATCAATAATATAGAATATTAAAAAAACCGCCCAAAAAACAGAAATTTAGTATCCGAGAGCCCAGGGATAGAAATGATTTTTAGGAACCAAAATAGGAAAACTTGAAAAAGCATTTACGCTCAGAAAGTTTCTGTGCATATTTTCTCTATTCCAATGCTGCTAAAATTGTTCATCTCTTTATTGACTCCATAGTGCGCGTGATGTTTTAATGCTATATCACTTGCTCCAAGTATGTAGACAAAAGCTCCAATACAACCTAAACATGTAGGTGTGCTGTAAACATATTGTGTATATTGTCTTGAACCATCATGTCCTACTACAAAGCGCTTGGTCCAATGGCCAATAGAAACGTGTTTGGGGCAGCCGTGAGGATGCGATACTATAATTGTTAATTTCTCCTTGTCTTTAAATGTATTATATTTAGAGTTAACCACGGCCATTTTTTGCATACATTTATTTGGTTTAAAGTACAGCAGATTTAATAAAACCTCATCACAGGTCACACATTCCACTTCACATTGATCGGTATGTATATCCGATTGTGTAACACTTGATCCTTCGACATAGTGATAGCGTCCATTTTCTTCATCAAAATTTATTTTGAAAATTGTCTTTTGAGCTTCACTGTCATCAAACACCAATGACTTTGCTGTGGCAATACAAATCTGACCCCATATCTTGCTAGCGTTACCAGAATATAGACATTTATAACATGGGCACGTCTGTCCATTTTCTATTCTTATTACATTTTTCACCAATCCTGTTCCTAGCTTGGTAAAAAAATGTCCCCTTTTTTCATGGAAAGGATAATTACGCTCTGTTCCTGGATAAAACCAGGGTCTTTTGTTACTGGTGTAGTTGACAGTGACCTTCACAGTGAGTTCAGCTATGCATTTAATCAAATCAAATATGTCACTCCTGCCATACATGAGTGGAAGATCTTCTTTGCTAAACTTGAAAATAGGAATAAAACGTTCATGTTTCCCCTTCTTCTGACAAGACGTGAAATCTTGCATCAATTTGTTCGGCTCTGTTGATTTCGAAAGGACGATCTATGAATTACAATTGAGTTAAGAAAAATATTTCATGTATGCTTATTGATAATTAGTAATAATTAATAACTAATGTTACATTTGTCCATAACATAATTATATATCAAGTTTTATAATACATTAATTTGACACTATTTAAAAAAAGTAAAAAATATGAATGTAAAAAAAATATTTAAAAAAATAACATATTAATGGTATTTAAATGAATTTTCTTTTTATTTTTGTGTTTGTTTCAAATAATCGCTTAAGAAAAGAAAAAGATAACGTTATTGCATTGTCTTCTTGTATAAATCTAACAGCTGCTTAGCAGATGCGTCAATTTTAGTACATATTTAAGAGCAGTACTATAATATATATATATATCACCGACAAACGCCGACCAGATCGATGTTGAATATTTTAAATATATTTTATGACTTTTTATTATGCCGTTCATTAAACAATATATCAATAAGTGGCTTAACTAGCCAACATGTTTTCGTCCTATTAAGTGAGTGTGTCATTTATAAATATATTCAATGTCTATAGACTTAAAAGCATTTTTTTGTGATTTAAACTATTCCTATACACTAATTTGTACATATATTATATATACATATAATATATATATGTATATATATATATCTATATATATATATATATATATATATATATATATCTATATCTATATCTATATATATATATATATATATATATATATATATATATATATATATATCAACAATTATTTAGTAAAGGTTAAAACAAAAATATCCCTTTTTAGAAAATGTGGAAAAAGTATAACATAATTTCTTTCCAAATACTTTGACCATTTGTGTAATTAAATTATTTATTTCTGTTGTAGTCCAGCTTTAGATCAAGCAATGGAGGCGGAGGAGACAATAAAAACTAAATCACAAGACACTTGCACACCGCCACGGGTCAGCGAATCTCTATCTCCAGGCATTGATGCAAACTTACAAACGAAAGCGGCTAAATATCCTGCTTCTGACGCATGCCGGGCCCCTCATTTGTCTTCTTGTGAGAGTCCTCTATTATCCAGAGATACATGCTGCGCAACTTCTGTATACGGAATTAATACAATTGATGTAGGGCATAACTCATCTGGAACTAGCACTTTAATTACCGAGAGTCGTGCAGCAATAACAGGTATTGGCACACCATTACCCGGAACACCATTAGACCCAGACACATCATTACATGGGACATATTTAACAACGTCACCTGGGGCATCACTGGAAACAGGTGTATCATCACCTGGGAGGTCACTTAACACAGGTATAACAACAACTGGAAAATCACTCAACACAGGTATTTCATCACCTGAGACATCACTAGACCCAAGCAAGTCAAGGCATGGGACATATATAACCACATCCCCATGGGCATCAGTTGAAACAGGCACATTATCACATGGAACAACAATAGACACTTTCACATCATCGCCTGGGACATATTTCACTTCATCAGCTGTGAGAGCACTAGACACAGGCACATCATCACTTGAGACATCACTAGACACACCCACATCATCTGCTGTGACATCACTTGACACAGGCACGTCATCTGCTGTTAAATCAATAGACACAGGGATATCATCAAATGGGACATCATTAGTCACAGCCACATCATTAGCTGTAACATTACTCAACACAAGTATATCATCACCTGAGACACCACTAGACATAGTCACATCATCAGCTGTGACATCAGTGGACACAGGCACATCATCAGCTGGGACACCACTAGACAAATGCACATCATCACTTGAGACATCACTTTGCACAGGCACGTCATCTGCTGTTACATCACTAGACACAGGCATATCATCAGATGGGACATATTTCACTTCATCAGCTGTGGCATTAAGTGATACAAACACATCATCAGCTATGAAATCACTAGACACTTGCACATCATCACTTGAGACATCACTAGACACTTGCACATCATCACTTGAGACATCACTAGGCCCCTTCAAATCATCGCATGGGACATATATAACGAAATCGCCATGGACATCAGTTGAAACAGGCACATTAAAATATGGTACATCAATAGACACTTTTACATCATCGTATGAGACACATTTCACTTCATCAGCTGTGACATCAAATGACACAAACACGTCATCAGCTATGACATCACTAGATACAGGCCTATCATCACTTGAAACATCACTAGACACATACACATCATCTGCTGTGACATCACTTGACACACGTATATCATCAGATGGGATATCATTAGACACAGGCACATCAACACTTGAGACATCACTAGACACATGCATACCATCTGCTGTGACATCACTTGACACAGGCATATCATCTGCTGTGACATCACTAGACAAATGCACACCATTAGATGGGACATATTTCACTCCATCAGCTGTGACATCTGATGCCACAAACACATATTCAGCTATGACATCACGAGACACAGGCACGTCATCAGCTGGGACATTACCAGACAAAGACACATCGTTAGGTGTGACATCCCTAGACACAGGCACGCGATCAGCTGGGAATTCGCTAGACCCGGGTATATCATCACGTCGAACTTGTTTGACATCATCATTAAACGCGTATTGTACACCACCTGGAACTGTTTCAACATCACTAAACACAAGTGTATCAACGCACGACACATTTGCACGGTTAAAAGACATTTGTCCACCATCCACTGAGAAAGAAGCAGCTTCCCTTGTCACAAAAGCTGGCCCAAACGTTTGCGAGGAAGCATTACAAGTTACAGGTAATGGCATCCCAGAAATCCTGTCTAATGAATTTACAAACATCAAGTGCACAGACAATATGGAAATCAAGTCTTTTAACAATGTTGTTGTAGATTTCGGAAAAACAGTTCCTTATAACGTGCCCATATCAATCAATGTTGAAAACTGTAAGTTCGTATGTCTGTTTGGAAACTTGTCAGTAAATACCACAATATCTGATCATGAGTGACGACAACGATTTGTGAAATGATCATCATTAGTGGTTGAGTTCTTAAAAATACAAATGTCTTTGGCTCGTTTTGAAGACGCATTTGAAACATTAAACAATATCAATCGTATCCCTTATATGTTGTACTGAGGAATGTCAAAGATTATTTCAAGTTAGTACAACATGAATGCATGAAAAGAATCTCAAAAATAAAAATGTATTAAAACAAATAGAAAAGTAGTAGTTCCTTAAATTGTATTGTCACATTAAGTTTCCTTTTGTTATCAATGTGGGAAAACATAGTCATTTTCAGGACCTTCATATTGCACACTTACACATAAAATAATGCCTTTAATGTACAACAATAAAGTGTAATACCATTTGCAATAATCTGTAACATATAACGGATTTTTATGTATTGGTTCCTTAATTAAAAGATTAAAAGATCATCCAAAGTTTCCCTACTACATAATAAGAAAATCATAAAACATTGAAATCTCAAGAATGTAAAACCATCTTCATTAATTTTCACGTCTGTAAAAGCTTAATGATTTGTGTGGTTTCTTTTATTTTATTTTTTTTTTAAATTTTAATTAATGTTATTAATTTCATAAAATTGTACATCAACCTTCATATGAACTTTATTTTCACAGAATGGACGTAAACATTTAAAAAACAAAAAAAAAAATTAAGGAAAATTGTACATCATATTTGTTCAAGACCGAAACTAAAAAACTAGAAGAAAATATTCCTCTATTTCAAGATTAAATTTTCATGTGTTTGAAATAATTAAGTTTTGACATTTTTATTTGAAGTATGTGTATACCTTTTTAGAGATATCCACCAGAGCCATCTTTTGAGCGGTGGAAGCACTGAGCACAGTAAAACACTGGGTCCCTCTATCCCCTCACTATACTCAAGGTTGTTCTAAGGAGGGGGCGAAAGGGCCGATTACTCGTTGCGCCAATACCAGGGTAGGGCAAAATCGTCTTAAGAAAGGCACTAAATAGTGCTTTAACAAAAAATACCTTGTAATTTGCATAGACAAGGGCGGGAAAATCGTCTAAATTGTGAGCCCTGGGAAAGGCTGTCTATAGCTTTCAATTCAAGTAATGTTATGAAAAGAATTATGGTTTAACTTGGCCTAAACGTTTTGACCAATTTCCAGTGCGCCCATGTCTTAAGACGGCACTTTTACCCGCGCATTGCTAACGCGATTGAAATATATTTTCTTACTTGATATAACATATGTATATTCGTACAAAGAGATTGTAACGCTTCTTTTTCACGACCGCAATATTATTGTATTTTAAAACATTGTCATCCACATGAACATGTACACACCCTATTTCCTAACCCCGATATATATATGTAGCCAAGAAGGTTTAATTGTTGTCAAATTATTTCCTTTATTCTAAGGCGTATCTTGTGCCGCCTGTTGTAAAAAACAGGTATCGTTTCCCCCACTCCCAGAATTTAATAAAATTCATTAAATCATCCACCGGAGGGTGGCCCCGTACTTAGGTGAACACCTTTTTTGTGCACTTCATATGGTTTGTTATTATTTGGATGAGTGATACATTCATTACAGAATGATATTTGGCTATGGAGCTTAAAAGCACTTTCTGACTTAAACGGCCTTTTTTAAAATCAAAAGTAAATTTAAAGGTTTAATTTTCATTAATTTATCAATTTAAATTTAAAGTATATTTTTAGAATGAATAAAAAGTGCAATTTTATTAAATGTTGAAAATAGAAAACTAATTTATTTTTTAATTTGTGGAGGGGCTGATATGTTTACAAATTAAAAAGCAATGAGTTATATAATTTATTAATTTTACTTCGGAGAAGGGGAAAATACATTATCAGTTTTGTCTCGCGCTGTTATTAAATCAATTTTTTTGGGCTATGAATTCATTTGCGTGTTTATTCAGAGCTAGAATAAATGACCCGATGTTATTTGGATAATAATGGTAGGTTTTTTGATAATTTCTAACAGCTTTTGCAAAAACTCATCCCAATCCATAACTTTTCAAATGTAATGATATTTACTTTTCTACCATCATTAAGTTTTGAGAAGTGTTTATGTGATATATATGATACTTGTACCCTACACCATTTCACGCCCCTAAAATATTTTTCCCCCTCTAAACATGAACTTAATTTACCCAGTCAATTATCACTAACTGTATCACTTTTATCACTAAAGAAATTAATTAATTAAAGGACAATTACTACGCTAAAGAAATACTTTAGATTTACCACTTTCCATGCCATGGAATTAAAACTTTTTTATCTCAATTTTTTTTTCAAAATCTAATCTTAAATTTACAACAATAATTCTATAAATGATATGAATATATCATGTATTACAGGAATTCGATAGATATCGATATCTTCATCAAAAGTTTTAACACATTTTTTCCTCTTTTTTTAAATTTTACATTATCAGACAATTGTAAAACAAATAATTATTTCACCTATGAAGAATCTCGCAAATGTTCTTCACTCCAATATCAGATATGACTATATTTTAAATAAAATAAATTATTAATTTCATAAAAATACACAATTCTTTACTTTTTTCAAAGTAACAACAAAAATATATATATATTTTTTTTTTAAAGAGAAAATATTAACCCATCTTCATTTGACAAAATTGAATTTTCAAATGTGTAAAATGATGTTGTTTTGTTATTCATGGATATACTTATATAAATGTACCCAATATTTGTTAACGCCATTGATTTTCTTAATTTGTAAACATATGTTTATTTGTAAAAAGAGAAATTAACATCCTCTTTTTTCACAAATGTAATACCATACAATTTAAATATATTTTCATCCACGTAAAAATGTACACTTGTTTTTTCCTACCTCCGATAAGAATGTACCCAAGAAGGTTAATTATTTATCGTATTCATTACTTTATTTTGAGACGTATTTTGTGCTGCCTGGGACAAAGTGACCAACCTCTCCCCAACCAAGATTTAAATAAATGTAGAAAATCTTTCACCGGATTGTAGTCCCTTCCATGCCTAAACTAAAATTGTTTGCACTTTATATGGTTTATTCTTATTTGTATGAGGAATAGCATGATTAGTGAATGCTATTTAGCTATGGAGTTGCGCTGCACTGATTGACTTAAACAGCATTTTCTTATTAGAAGTATATTTAAAGGTTAGTTTTTTCGGAAGTTTGTTCCAGTCCCTGTTTGTCCTTGGCAAATATAAGCAATTTATAAGTCGTTTATTGTTTTTTTATTTGCCGGAAATGTCTGTCTAGTCCTGTTTAATGTCTTTGGGGAGATGGAAGAGCTTCTGATTAACGCTGTTGCAATGGACAATCCTATTAATTATCCATTTGGAGAGCTTCGATAGTCGCTTTCGTTCCCACGATAGTTACCACCCGTGTGTCCAGCATGCTGCGAACACTAGAGGTGTTTCTATAGTGGTTCAGGACTAATCGCGATGAAAGTCAGTTGAACGCTTCCAACTTTTTGATGATGTTCCGGGTAAATGGGTCATAAACTGAAGACGTATACTTTAAAAGCAGCGGAGAAAGGCTTTATAGGTTTTTTCATTTCATGCTGGAATTGCTAATTTCCAGATTTCGCTTTGGGAACCCTAGGGTCGTGTTTGCCCAGTTGCTCAGATTGTTAATGTACTCATACCAGCGGACCCCTCTTTCAATAGAAAAACAAAGAAACCCTATGGAGAAAACTGGCTTAAGAATATGGCCATACAATTCCTAAAGAATGTGTAGAGGGGATCTGTTTTTGGAGACTGACAGGTTTGGAATATGACGGAAAAAAATGTCCATGTCCCAGCTCCCCTCCCACTCTCCTAATTCATGAAGATGATATTGTAGCTGGTCTGACCACAACTGTTGGCGGTCGTCTTATACACCGCTGTTTCGTCTGCGAACAGTATTGCATGGGAGGTCAGCTTTTTGGGCAGGTCATTGATATATTCTAGGAAAAAACATCACCTAACACCAATCCATTGGGGAAACTGTTTTAAAACAAACAAAGAAGGAGGTTGTGCTATCTACCACCACAACCTGACATCGCTAGTGAGCTTTGTTTTTTAAGTGCCTTGGATCCCATATCATTGAAAATTGTTTAATAGCAAAATATGATTAAAACGATGATAGGCTTTTGCGATTTTCATCACTAGCACATCCGTTTTTTTGCTGTTGTCCAGATTGGTCGACAAGTCTTTTTTTTTATATAAGGAGCTGAATCTCACTTGATCTATTCACTCGGAAGCAATGCTGACAGTCGATTAATATTGTGGCTTTCAAAATGTTTCCTTAAATTGCTCATTCCTTAATGTGTTATGTTCTCAATTCACAAATTATAATCTAAAATATATGTTATCTATGGACATGATGGCTTTCAAAAGGGTTCCAAAACATGAAAAATAAGTAATAGCAATAGAAATATTGTAAAGTAAATCTAGTGTGACCGATTTCTTTCCTACTCTGGTTAGGAGAATCGTGCAGAAGGTGCTTGAATTGATACACTGTATATAGTGCACTATATGAGGGACTGCATTTAAGCTGTGTGATGAAAAAACTGGAAAAATATATTTTTAGATTAAACATTAAAAACTGACTTTTAAATAGTAAATTTAGGATAGATGTCTGCAACAGTTGAAAGCACAGAACAAAAAAAAACACAAAATAATAAGATACAAAAAATGTGTGTTTTAGAAGATCTCACAATTGCACAAGAATTACAATACTAGACATATCTTATTCCCATATGTTCTAAATATGTTACTTCAATTTGCTATGTTGTGCTGTTAAAATAAAAAGATGATCATGTAAGTTTCTATCGACCATTACTTTCGAGAAACTTGAGTTGGTTGTGTTTAGTAAAACCACTTTGGTTTATAAAATGCTTATAAGGAAAAGATGACTGTAATAACTGTATTGTTTTGAAGGATATTTATGCAATACGTCTTCAAATTTTGAGGAGACCGTGATTTTTGGAAAGAGATCAGAATGTTGGTTTACATATATGACAAAAAAATTGTTGGGGCCAATGAAATACAAACTCGTTCAAGGTGGGTGGTGAATATTTTTTGCCTTCTTCATTGTGTTCCTCATTGTTGATTATTATCTGGAACGTGTAACCATGGATATGGATACATTAAAGAGCCCCTTAAAAGTTCTTTTCACTTTCCATTCCTGAGATATACGCTTGGACTGTCTGTGGAGGTCACTTGCACCTTACGGGTTATGGATGTTTTATTGTCTTTGACGTAATTTAACTTACAAAGTTTCAGCTTAATTGGAAATCAGTGAGAGGATAAAAATCAAGACGCAATATGGAGATAGATTGCATATATTGCTGTCGATAAAAAAAATACACTGATATATGATCCTATTTAAGAAACTGCGTTAAAGGAGTCTCAAGAAAAATCTAAACAGTTAACATATAAATATGTATATGTATATACGTTTGAAATTAAAAGACTGGCAATTAAATTGAAGTTTTGGCTCGATTCCTGTGTCATTGATGATCTATTGATCATAACTGATTTTAAAGTCATTTTAGGTTGTTAAGTGTACAAGGTTACTGCTTCATAATACATAAGGAAGTTTGTTATTTAAATGCAAAATTTAACCACAAACTAAAAAAAAAAAATCACAAAAAAGCTTATAGAAGCTTATAAGAACATACAATACGATTTGCAATGTGTAGGAAGCATAACTCAAGGCTAAAATTGGACGGGTTATCATTTAAAAAAAAAATTATTAGACGTTTGACCTTTTTAACATTGTTATAATAAAAGATGTTTTAATTTAACGAGCAATGTTCCAACTTAAAATATATTTTTAGATACAAAATTTACTTTGAAATAGCTTTTTCTGAAGTCACACATAATATAGAACTGTTCCATGGCATTACAATTCTATATTTCACTTACGGGTTAGATAGTGTCTCAGTCTTTGAAGAGTTCAATGATTAAAACAAGTTGAAATGATTAATTATTTATCACCACACAGAGCACTTAAATATTATGTTTGACAGAAGTTTAATTTTCAGCTTTTCGACCTCCTCTAAATACAAAAATCACACTATTAATACGTAACATTTGTGTGATCCACACAACAAAACAGGAAGCATACACTCAAATCTTTAACTAAATTTTCCAAATACTTCAAATTTGCTAAAACAGAAATAAGATTATAATGAACTAGGCTGGGGAAAGAGGGCAGTGTTACTTTGCGGCCTCTTTTCAGGAGGCACTTCCACATGGAACAAATTAAGTCCTCACCCCCTCCCCCCAAGCAAAATGTGTACAACAAAATGGATATATTTTATTTGTTTAAAAAAACATTTTAAAGGAAAAAAAAATAGTTTGTGGAGCCTTGAACAAATAACACTTGGTGAATACAATGAAATAATGATACGGTCCATGTATTTGATGATCCGTATTAAAGGTAGAGCTCTTTATAGACTCACACACTTCGATTATAAATATCGTTTCTTCTCTGTTTGCGTGTGTTTTTATTTATTTATTTTTTTTTAATTGGCCATTCCTTATTATAAGCCAACGTTTTACTTCCTCATCGGATGACCAAAACTGGGATCATAGTTATTTTTTAATGCTTGGACAGTCTCTAATAATGCTCAAATAGTTGTTCGCCTTAATAAGAAAAAAAAAGATATGTATTTGTAAAATTTAATTAGCATATTTTAAAGTGTGTATTTATTTAAAAATACAATTGGCTATGGATACATTTACTAGTATTTGACTTTTGAATAATGCAATGATGTACTGTCATAATGTAAAATATTAAATTAGATGTATAGTACCTTTGATTAAATGTTACTTCTTTATCAATGCATGTTAAGTTATATGCAAGCCAAACTTTATGTAAATTTATTTAACAGCAAATAGCATCATTAAACTCTTTGATTTGACCTGAAGCTTAAATGGTGATGTTTCGTTGGCTATTTTTTTAATGAATTATCTATTTTTAAGAGTCCGAATTATATTGTAAATTGCAAATGTAATAGGTTTTGTACATAAAATGTTTTAAGTTAAAAGGATTTCTTTATAGACATTATATTTATGTATGTTTGATTTTTTAATTTCTTTAAAAAGAGGATTAACATAATTATATTTAACTTGATGTTTTACTTTGTCAATATCTATAGACGACTCGCTAACCTAAAATCCATATTACAACATTAATATTTTAACCTGTAGATTCAAGCCAAAATTTGTGCGAAAAAGTAATTTTAATTATTAAGAAATGACATATTAGATGCACATGCACAGGTAAAACAGAAATATCTTATTTATAATGTCTCTTATGGTTAAAATATTGAGCCTAATACATCTTATGGGAATTAAAAAAACAACGAGCCATCACTTGGGTTTAATCGAGATCTGCATGAGTGAGAAACTAAATGGTGGCAGAAATAAATACATGAAAAATATGGATATCATGAAAGAAATAGAGTATGATTTGTTTTTCTTCTTCTTCTTATATTTATAGTGCCAACGATCGATTTGGTGATCATTCTGGCTCATGGTTTTAAAGCAGAGTTTGCCTTCTCTGAGACGGTTTGCCGTCAAAGGCTAACGAGTCCGATCCACCAGATGTGCCTGGGATGTTGGCTTTGGTGGGGATTGAATTCCAGACCATATGGTTTGAGATAGTTAAGAACGCTCGTCAATCAGCGCCGTTGACCAACCCATTACCAGTAAGGCCAAAAAAAACGCGTGAAAGGATGGTGGGCTGGAGTTACCAATTAATAGCAATAGGTAACTTGTTTAAACTTATTTTATGGTTTAACGCGTTCAAGTTTTAATTTAGTTTTGTTGGGTTGTTATGCACTTATTTATTGTCATTATATTTTATATTCCATTCAATCAAAATGCAATATCACATTAAATGATCAGTAACTTTTTTGTTAATTGGCAAACTATTATAGTTCTTTAAAAAAGTAAATGCATCTCATTGTTACCTCCAGCTGCTAGGGCCAACTCTACAGATACGAGGGATCTTAATCTCATTGTTACCTTGAACTGCAAGAACCAAGTACACATATTAGAAGGATCTTCATCTAAATATTAAATAAAGCTGCAAGAGCCACGTCCACATATACGAGGGTTCTTCATCTCATTTGTTATGCACTGGCTTCTATTGTGAGAAATGAATCAGCTATTTTAATTATATGGCTCGTTCAAACAATGCCTAACAAAGGACGATACCATA